TTTTTTTTTTTTTTTTTTTTTTTTTTTAGACAGCACATATTAGAGACAGGGTCTCACTACATAGCTGAGACTGACCTGGAACTCACTATGTAGCCCAGGCTGTCTCGAACTCATAGCGATCCTCCTGCCTCAGCCTCCCGAGGGCTGGGATTACGGATGTGTGCCACCATGCCCGGCCAATGAATATTAAGTGTATTCTCAAAGTTGTGGGGCCATTAATGCTAATTCTAGAATTTTTTTTTGAGGGGTGTACCAGGGATAGAACTCGGTTCCTTGTATTTGCGAGGCAGGCGCCAGAACCACTGAGCTAAATCCCCAGCCCTAGAATGTTTTGATCACCCCAAAAAGAAACTCCACACCTATGAGTAGTCCCTGTCCTCTATTCCTCCTTCCAGCCCATGGAAAAAACTAATCTCCCTGTCACTATGGATTTGCCTGTTCTAGAAATTTTATATAAATAAAACCAGACAATGTATGGTTTTTAAAAATCTGCTTTTATTTAGCCTAATGTTTTCAAGGCATATCCACATAGTAGCAAATATTAGAACTTCATTTTTTATTGCTAAATAATATGTTAATGTATGAATTTAGAATATTTTGTTTACCCATTTGTTGATTGGTGGACATTTGGTTATTTCTACTTTTTGGTTGTTATGAATAGTGTTTCTGAGAACTTTGATCTGGGGCCGAGATTTAGCTCAGTAGTTCCACTGCCTTCCTCACAAGTGCAAGTTCTTGAGTTCAATCCTGGTACACACACAAACACACACACACACACACACACACACACACAGAACATTGACCTGTTTGATTCCCTGCTTCTGTTCTTTTGGGTGTTTACCTACAAGTGGAATTTCTCAGTCATATAACTCTGTGTTTAGAGTTTGAGGAACTGCCTCATGATTCCCAGAGTGGCAACACCATTTGCATTCCTATACTTGTTTGGGGGGCGAGGTAAGAAAAATCATGACAAATTTTTCTGTATTTCAGTTATTCAAATTATGTTGTATTCTACACATTTCTCCACATCTGCATTTTTCTGTCGGGATCATTGAGGATGGTTGACTGTTGCACTTTGGAGGCACAGTTTGGGGTAAACCTTTCAGTGTTTGAAACTGGATGCTATCAACTCTTACTGCAGACAGCAGTGGTGGTGCATGCCTGTAATCCCAGCACTCCAGGAGGCCGAGGCAGTAAATCACAAGTTTGAGCCCAGCCTGGGCTCAACTTTAGCAATTTAGCAAGACCTTATTTCAAAATAAAAAATAAAAGGGCTGGGGATATGGCTCAGTGTGAAGGCTCTGCGTTTAAGCTCCAGTACCAAATAACTAACAAAAAAACAACTGAAACAAAAACAAACCTACAGCAGCTTCTCTTTTGAATGCTACCTGTTTTTGTAGGATAGAATGGCTAGGAAAAGACATTGCTGACAAACATTATCAATTTTACTACCGTCATCAGAGCTAAGAAATGAAAGTTGCCCGGGTTGATCACTGATATTTCAGCTATCTCTGTCTTTTGGTTCCAGTAAGTCTTGCTGACAACTTTTCCCTGAGCAGATAAGGATTCCACCCAGTTGCCAGTGATTGAATTGACTCATTGACCTGTCTAGAAATACAGACTGGTATTTTTTGCAATTTACATAGTACAGTTCTTTAAAAATTATTGTTCTGAATATATTCTTCTTAGAAAAGAACATTAGTATAAAAATTGTCACGCAGGGGCTGGGAATTTAGCTCAGTGGCACCGAGCCTGCCTTGAAAGCGCAAGGTTGTGAGTTCAGTCCCCAGTACAAAAAACAAAAGCTGCCACTCAGAAAGTGAAAGCTGTCCTTTATCCTCTGTCCTGCCCCTTAATCAATAGAAGTCTCTTTTCTGCCTCTATTTTCTTCAGTTCTCATATCAGTCTCATCTAGGCTAGAGTTTTATTATTGTTGTTTTTTAAGTACTAGGGATCAAATCCATGACCTTCCCACTGAGTACATTCCTAGCCCCTTTTAACATTTTTTTCTTTTTTAATTTTGAGGCAGGTCTGATTAAGTTAGATCTTTAAATTGCCCAGGCTGAATTTGAACTTGTGATCCTCCTGTTTCAGCCTCCCAGATCGCTGGGATTACAGACTTGCCTTCACGCCCAGCTAGGTTGGGGGGTATCGACACCACTTTAGAGATAAGAATATCTAGGTATATGAAAAAAGGTCCACATACTTCCTGTTCAGCTGGCAAAGGTTAGAGACTGGATTCGCACTCGAGCTTGAGGGAGCCTGTGAGGTAATCCTTTGCAGGCCTGCTGCCCTGAGTAGCCCTCTCTGGCTGCTTTGTGTTCTTTGGGCCTCTTAGGGTTGCCTCTGGCCCGATCTGCTCCCTGGGGATAAGAGGCAAAGTCTGTTCTTTAAGCCAGCTATCCAGAGGTGGGCAGAGAGAAAAATATCTGGAGGGTGGCCCCTTGCTCCACCCTGTGCACTGTGTCCCCCTGCCCACTATCTGCATGTCCGCAGCCGTGTGACAGCTGCTTCGGGACCCAGGCTGTCCCACACTGCCCACGCGGTGTGGAAAGTTGAGGTGTGCTAAGTCTCCTGCTTCTCTTGCCCTCCTACTTTGCATGCCTTGTCACATACCCGGAGGGAGTCAAACTATGCTGTTTCTCACCTCTGTTGCTCATCCTGGCTGAAACATAAACAGTAAGATTGTGCTGGTAGAACCTAGCACTTTGGAGGCTGAGGAAGGATCCCTGTGAGTTTGAGGCCAGCCTGGGCTCCATAGGGAGTTCAAGGCCAGCCTGAACTAAACAGCAAGACCCTGTCTCAAAAGAAAAAAAAAAAAAATTGTGCTAATAGAACTAGGACCAAGGGCTTAGTCTTCAGTCCAGCCTTTAATCTGCTGACTCACTTCCCAGTTTGGCTCCTTGTTTCTGCTCAGCTCAACTTGCCAGATTCTGCTGAGCTTTTCCTCTGTGCTTGGCTCTGCTGAGGACTTGAGGGTAAAGTGAGACATAGTCTTCCCTTCAGATGTACGCAATTAAGTGCAGAATGAGTTACGGAAATAAGCCCCGTCACTGCCACATGAGAGGTAGAGGAGCCCCAAGGAAGGTGAGCTCCTGCAGCAAGGGCTGTGGTTTTAGTTCTCTTTATGTCTCATGGGAAGGGGTGCATTGTGACCTGTGGTTCCCAAGGCAGGCAGACCTGTTGACTGAGTTGTGTCTGATCAGTTCAGTTGAGGTCTAGGTCCAGGTCTAGGTCTTTAAAATGGAGATTCCATGCAGAGAAGTAATGAGAAAGTCGGTCTGGGCTGCCCCAGCCTCAGCCTCACTCGTTTGTCATTGCCTACACTGTAGGATCATCCAGGCTTCTCCATTATTTGTGAACTGTGTCCAAGGAATTCATTATTAATTAGGGGTGAGCTGTCGTTATTTCATGCCTCATTTACTTATGTATCAGCTTGGACAAAACCCTAAAATAAATCCATGCTCACATACCTGTGTGTCCAAGTGCCCTCTGAAGTCCGGGGAGAAGGGCACAAAGCCTTGCTGGTCCACAGACGGCGACAGCATCTTCACCTGGGGCTGCTGGAAGTGCAGTCTTGAGTCACACCTGGATCTGCCGAAGCCGAGTCTCTGCAATGGGGCTCAGACATCAGGTTTCAGCAGGCTTCCCATGTGACTCCTATGCACAGGCGAGTGCGCCCCGGACTGCAGCGGCTGTATATGCCTGTGAACATCATCCGTCACGATTGGGAGCCTCTGGTCCCGACTTGCCCCTTGGATGACAATTATGGGACATTGGCTTTTCTAGGCCTTTCTATGCACAATCTCTTTTTTTCTGTGAACATTCTGTTTTTGTTACAGGTCAAGTTTCCCTGGAAGCAGACTCTGAGATGACCAGGCAGGATGTTTCTGGGCATGCTCCCAGGAGCAGCAGCCTCTGTAGAGGAGCACAGGGTGGGGGCAGGACTGGGCAGCCAAGTCAGGCTGGGATGCAGTTTCACACAGGCCTTGGCCCGTGCTAGAGGAGCTCTGGAGCAGGGCTGGCTCTGTGAGCACAGGGAGCTGGTTCTTCTGTCTCTGTACTGGTCAGAGGGTAGATATAGTCTGTCCCCAGAGGATTGTAAGCTTGTGTTGGACAGCTGAGCAGAGCCCAGTGCTCAGAGAGGAGCACATCTGAGACATGTCAGCAGCCGAGACACCTGGCAGCCGGGGCAGTGAATGAGTGCTTTTGTCCTGAATGTGGATCCAAGCTGTGGCTCCTACACTCATCTCTGCGTTGGTTTTTTTTTTTTTTTTTTTTTTTTTTGATGTCTTCAGTTTTCTGCTAATCCCCAACACAGTCCCCTGTTTTTTCACCAGACCTTTTCTCAACCACACAGTTTGAGGACAAGAAAATGATCAGAGATTGTAGGTTAACAGTGTTGTGGGTTATACTGCCATTGCGGGTTGTAAGATGGTAGCAGGCTTTTGTGTAAGCTTCAGGTTGCCTGCTTGTCCGATGGAAATGCTGTCTGTCAGAATCACAGCTGTGAGCTTTGGCAGAGAGCAAGAGTGAGGGGGTGGAAATGATTTGTGAATTCAGGGTGCTTGGCCTATGCCACCTGCAGGGAGAAAGTTCCTCTCCTTTGGATTTGCATGCTGAGGTCCACTTCAGTATTAGTGGATTAGTTAACAATTCTAATGTGTTCTTATTTCTCCTCCCTGTAATTCTGAGCCCATCCGTCCTATAGAGCTTGTCCCAGGGCAAGACTTTCAGTAGTAACTAGTGGCATGTTTTTGTCTTCTAGGGGCCAACATACCCTATGCAGCACAGCCCACCAGCTACGACTATGATGCCCCACTGAGCGAGGCAGGGGACCTCACTGAGAAGTACTATGCTATACAAAGCGTTATCCAAAAGGTGGGTGCCTCATACAGGTGGTGGGGGACTGGGCTTGGACAGGGCCTGCTTGCACTCTCTGTGGCTCAGTGGATGACTTCCAGCCAAGGACCTTCATGTTGAAATGGTTAAAGGGAAGCATCAGCTAGATCTGGAGCCTTGAGCTAGAGGTGGAGCCTTGGCCCCACCTGAAAGAATGAGCCTGTGACCAAGTTCCTCTACTGCTCTATTGATCTGTAATCAGGGATTAGGGAACCTGGTTGTACTATAGGGATTAAAAAGAACATAAAGGCTGGACGTGGTGGTGCACGCCTATCATCCCAGCACTCTGGGAGGTTGAGGCAGGAGGATTATGAGCTCAAACCCAGCCTGGGCTGCTAAACGAGACCCTATCTCAAAATTTAAAAAATAGAAAGAAGACTTGGGATGTAGCTCAGTGCAGAAGCCTGGGTTCAATTCCTAGTACCAAGGGGGGGGGGAATGTATAATCTGTGGAGAGGGGAGGATGTAGCTCAGTGGTAGAGTGCTGGCCTAGCATGGATGAGGCCCTGGGTTCAACTCCTAACACACACACACACACACACACACATTTTTTTTCACACACACACACACACACACACACACACACACACACACACACACACAGCCATCCAGGTCAGTCCCTGACACATATATGTCTAATCCCATTATTTATACTAAAGACAGACAGGGCTGGGGATTTAGCCCAGGGGTGCCACTGCCTAACTCGCAAGCGCAAGGTCCCGAGTTCGATCCTGGATACCAAAAATCTGTAAGACTATACTAAAGGCAGGAAAGCGTGTGTCCATTGAAATAGCTGATGTGTAGGAGAAACAGTCTGTGGACACTGAAACACCGTGCGAATGGGATCTGTGCAGGAATGAGTGATGCTCCATTGCCCTATCTGGGGCAAGTTTGCAGTTTCCTTCTGACCTGCTCCTGAACTGCCAGCACTATCGGCTTCTGAGGCACCTACAGCTCCCAGGTGGGGTTTCCTGTCTTTGCGGTGGGTTAAAAAAAAAAAAAAACCCACAGTTTTTCTGCTCAGTCACTTGAGTTTTGAAGTTAAAAAACAAAGGCTTTCTGCCTAAAAATGGTAATTTTTTTTTTTGTTTTAGCCACAATGTCTTAATTTTAAACATGTATTAAAATTTATATTATGAAATATTCTAAACATACAGACAAATACAATCTAGACCTTTCTTTTATTTTTTATAATACTGGCGATTCAACAGAGGGTATTGTACTGAGCTACATCCTCAGCCCTTTTTATTTTTTATTTTGAAAAAGGGTCTCTCTAAATAGCCCTGGATTGGCTTGAATTTGGGATTCTCCTCCTCAGCCTCCCTAGTAGTTGGGATTACAGGTGTGCACTATTATGCCCAGCTTACTGTTAATAAATTGTTTCACCTAAGTTTTCAAATGTATGGTTACATTGTTGCTCATGTTATTCTTTTGTTATGGGTTTACTTTGCAGAAGTTACAGTAACATTTTCCTTTTTACTCCTTCATGTTTTATTTTCTTCTTTATATTTGAAGCTTAGCTTTTTAATTTTTAATTTTTTATGTTTTTTTTGGTACGGGGATCAAACATTTTTATCTATTTTTAATTTTTTAGTTTTTTTGAGACAGGATCTCACAATGTAGTTCAGGCTGGCCTTGAACTCAATATGTAGCCAAGACTGGCCTCAAACCTATGGCAGTGCTCCTTCCTCAGCCTCCTGATTGCTGGGAAACTTATCTTTTTAATCCAGTATTTATTCTTATTTACTGTACATATTTGAGGTCACACATTTTCTGCTATAGCTTTATTTTGTATGTTTTGATATGTAGTGTATTTTTTGCTTCTTTTTATTATTTGGAACCAGGGATCAAACTCGGGTCCTGAGCTTGTGCAGCAGGCGGTAGAACCACTGAGCTAAATCACCAGCCTTATTCTTTGCTTCTAATCATGCTAATTTTGACTTCTCTGTGACTCTTGAAATATTCAGAAGTGTGTTTTTATGAGTGCTATGCGGTTCAGGCTGGCCTTGAACTCACAATGTGGCCTGGGCTGGCCTCAAACTCATGGTGATCCTCCTGCCTCTGCCTCCCAAGTGCTGGGATTACAGGCATCTGCCACTATGCTCAGCAGAAGTGTTTTTGAATAAGTAAACATGAGTCTTTTTCTAGTTTGTTGATTTCTGACATGTTTGCATTCTGATTAGAGAGTGTACTAGATTTGATAACAGTTGTTGAGCCTTGTCTTGCGGCCTGAAATGTATCGATATTAATAGTCATTGTGTTCTTGGAAAAAAATGCATAATTTATAATTGTTGAGTATAATATTCTATATATATGCGTGTTAGATGAAGCTTTTTTTTTTTTGGTACCGGGGATTGAACTCGGGTCCTTGTGCTTGCAAGGCAGGCCACCGAACTGCTGAGCTAAATCCCCGGCCCTAGACGAAGCTTTTTAATGGTGCTCTTTAACATGTTAACTTTTTGTCCATTTTATTTATTGGGAAACGTAGTTCTGTCAGTGTTTGAGGTTATGTTATTAGGTGTGTACCCTGAAATTAAATCCTTCAGTATAATTTGTACCTTTCTATCTGTAATAATGCCTTGAGCCCAAAAGTACATTTTGGCTGTTATTAACATACCTTACTGGTATTCTTTTGGCTAGTATTTACCTGGTATGTCTTTTCTTATGCTTTAAAAATTTTTTTTTGGTACTGAGATCAAACTCAGGACCTTGCGCTTGCAAGGCAGGTGCGGTACCTGAGATAAATCCCTGGCCCGCTTATGCTTTACTTTTAATTTTTTAATATTTTCTTTGCAGGTATCCTTTGTAAACAGGTTGTAACTGAGTGTTTAAATGTCTGATTTTAAAATGTTTATCCTATAACTTTTATTCATTCATTACAAATCTTGTTAGACATTACTCTTTTTTTTTTTTTTTACTACTAGGGATTAAACACAGGGCCTCACACACAGTAAGCGAATCCTTTACCCCTGAGCTCACTCACAGCCCTTTTTAAGTGTTATTTGGGGATGGAGTCTCAGCCTCCTCCTGCCTCAGCCCTCTTGAGTAGCTCGGATTAGAGACATGCAACACCATGCCTGCCTCACATAGATTTTCAGTCTTTTTATTTTATAATTTCTATTCATCCATTTTTTTTCCATTATTTCTCTACTTTATTGCAGTGTTTTGGATTGTCTGAGGAGATTTCCTTTTTCGTTATCTCCCCTCTTGTTGATCTGAAGGTACTCACTATTTTTAAGTGCTTACCCATTGAAGTGTGAGCTCTGTACCTCCAGGGAGACACAGCCCTCGGGTCTGCAGCTCCTCACTGAGTTTATGTCAAGTGAACCCAGTGCTGTGATCAGCGTGCACTCCAGAAGCCCCTTCTAATCAGCCCCACCCAGCCCTGAGTTACGACTGTGCTGTCCTCTGTCACCACTGTAGATACTTTCTGCTTGTTTGGGGGCTTTATGTAAATGAGCTCATGTGGTATGTACTCCTTTGTGTCTGGCTCTCGAGAAACTTTAATATTTGGTTTTAACATATTCGTTTAAAATTACTATCTTTACTTCTTCTATAGTATATTCCTTTTTAACTTGGCCCTTTAACTTGTTACCTCCTTTTTGTATGCTATTATTGTCATGTATTTTAGGTCTCTGGGGTTCATTTCCTTGCAATTTAGTTCTTTTTTTCAAAACTAAAACTTGTAGTCACCTATAATTCAGGCACTCTGGAGGCTGAGGCAGGAAGATTGCTAGTTTGAGTCCTGCCTGGGCCACATCGATTCCAGGCAGCCTGGACTTAGGCAATGAGTCTTTGTCTCAAAAACCCTAAAATGACTTAGTCTGGTTCTAGACTAGTCTAGAATTTTCTGATGTGGGAATTAAACACATACATAATACAGTGAAGACAGGAGGGGTTTGATCGGATAAAGTTATCACTTATGTGAGGTTACGTCAGGAACTCACTTTTGGATGTGCTAGATTTTCATGTCAGTTTTATATAAATTGTACGAAACATGACACTGCTAGGACCTATCCCTTAGGGTGTTTCTGGATGCTGAAGATGAGTGGGGCATCTGCCACAGTAATTTAAGAATGACATTAATGACAAGGGCAGCAGGGAGTAGAGGAAGCAGTGGACTGGGAAATAGAGTTGGGAGGACTTGGTGACTGGCTGACGGTGGGCATGAGGACAAGTGTGAGGTCATTGATTTTCCAGGTAGCAACCTTAGCTGGATAACCAAGTAGACTTTGAGGTCAGCGGCTAAGAGGGAGGATTGCTGAGGAGGCATAAAGAGGGAGAAGGAAACAAGTTTATCTCTGTTCAGCTTAAGATGCCCCTGAGGACTTCCCAGTGGAGCTGCCTGTTCAACAAGCAGCAGCATTTAAGAGTGAGATCCCCAGGACAGGCCTACAGAGAGGCACGGATTCTCAGGCCAGCAGCGGAAGTGAAGATGGCACATGGAGAACCACGGGAAGCAGGCCAAAGAAAAGATGAGCCCAGGGCATTCCAAATGTTCAACCAGTAAGGCAGAGTAAGATGAAGCCATGAATGAGGCAGTCTTTAGAAATGGTGTGATTCCTGGTGGACCCCTGAGACCCACGTCTAAGGTGCAGGGAAGTTGTATGCAGTGATGGCTCTGAAGCTGACTGGCTCTCAGTCAGGGACCTTGGTACCCTTTGTGAAGTGCTTAGTGGACCAGGGAGGGAGGACCCTGCTCTTACAGTCTATTGTCATCTG